GACGCTAATCCGTCTGATTTAATTTCACGAGGTATAAACGCCCGCCATCTACGAGATAATTCTATGTGGTGGCACGGCCCTTCGTACCTGTATGACAACGACTCACAATGGCCTAAAATACATCAAATTCAAAATGTTGATTTACCTGAAATAAAAATTCACTATGTAGAATCACCCGAGTCCACATTCGATTTTAAAATGTTTTCTAATTTCACTAAGTTACACAATTATTTTGCATATGTTTTACGATTTTTGCATAATTCTAAAAAACAAACAGGTGTAATTTTTATCTGGCATTTTGTCAGTTGAAGAATTACACAATTCTTTTATATTTATTTGTCGCATATCACAGAAACAATCTTTTCCGTTTGAATATAAGAAATTGCAATCCAAATTATCATTGCCGCCTAAATCAAAATTATTATTTATCTCCATTTTTTGACCCCACATCTAACATTATACGGGTTGGAGGGAGATTAGATAACTCTAATTATTCCTTTAATAAGAAACATCCGATACTTTTAGATGCTTCACATTACATAACAAAACTTTATTTCATCAGTGAACATTTACGAAATTTACATGCCGGTCCACAGTTGCTACTAGCAACCATCAGAGAAGTTACTTGGCCTATCAATGGTAGGAAGCTGGCTAGAAGCACAGTAAGAAAATGTGTCACTTGTGTGCGTGTTCGTGGGCAAACCATCTCACCTAAAATGGGTAACTTACCCAAAAATCGTGTCTCCGTTGATTTTCCATTCAAATCCGTTGGAATTGACTATGCCGGTCCTTTTCTAATACTAAATCGCAAGGGTCGCGGCGCTAGACTAATTAAATGCTACTTATGCCTATTTATTTGTTTGCGTTTTAAATGCGTTCATTTAGAACCTGTCAGCGACTTAACAAAGGAAGCTTTCATTATGACATTTCGTCGCTTTGTTGCTCGCCGTGGTAGACCAGCGGAAGTTTGTTCCGACAACGGAAGAAATTTTGTATCTGCCGCAAAGGATATAAGTAATTTTCTAAAACAAAATAACCAATCTCTTTCTCTGTTTGCAGCAGGGGAGGGAATAAAATTTTCATTTATACCTGCTTACAGCCCTCATTTCGGTGGGATTTGGGAGGCTGGAATCAAGTCTGCTAAATATCATGTCAAAAGAGTTATGGGCAACTCTCATCTTACTTTTGAGGAACTTTGTACTTTATTCGCACAAGTTGAGGCAGTTCTAAATAGCCGCCCCTTGTGTCCACTGTCATCATCACCTGATGATTTCCTATCCTTGTCCCCAGGGCACTTTCTTATTGGCAGACCTTTAAATACGCTGCCAACGCCACCTCAAGACGACTGCCAGTCAACCCAACTGCAACGCTATGCCCGCCTTGAACAAATAAGGCAAGATTTTTGGAAACGTTGGCAGAAAGAATACATCTCTGAACTTCAACTTCGAACAAAGTGGAAGACAAAGACTCAATCTTTAAATATCGACGATCTTGTTATTATACAAGAGGATAATGTGCCACCACTAAACTGGCGCCTCGGACGTGTTGCCCGGCTTTACCCTGGTTCAGACGGCATTTCTCGAGTCGCAGATATCAACACAGCAAGAGGATGCGTGCGTCGATCGCTGGTTCGCCTGTGTCCCCTACCGAATGAAGATGATATTCAAGGTTGAAGATCATAGACCTTCAACGGGGGGAGTCTATGTACGCGCCTACTTCAATACGCATAGCAATTCGTCGTTAGATGATTTACGTCTAGTTAAATTATTTTTATATGACATTTATTTTTACAATCTTCAACAGCGGGTAGATTGTTGCACCAGTCTATTCTACTACCGATTTCGAACAGTCACCATCTCTGCTTTTTTATGTCTCCAAAAATTATTGTAATATACATAATTCTAAAGTTCTTTTGAGTTTCACTAAAGAAATTCCATTCTTGTGCGTAAACACATTTTTTTTAAAAACGTTGCCCCACACTATGATTTTCTCCTGTATCGTAGGTGCGTTTACAAACATACAAGTTTACGTACACAATGACACCCAGACCCGAAATAACAATTTGTGGATCACACAAAGTGTTGTTCCGTGCGGGAATAGAACCCGCGACACGTTGCACGGCGCACCGCACCAACCGTGCAGTCTTCACATACAATATTTCACATACAATACTGAAACTTACTGAAATCCGACATAGAATCTAACATGTCCTATACTTCAGGAATAGATACAGTTCAACTAATTCCGTCTTCCTACAGACATGATATAAAAGTGTCGTTAAGACTTAATTAAATTCTTTCAAGCACCCTGTTAATGAGTGCTTGAGACGTCAAGGGTCAGTAACGTTAGAGAATCTTATTAATTTTGTAACAGGGTGCTCTCACTTCAGTGTATTACGTGTAATAGGTAGCTCTGATGAAAGTGTAGCTCATACCTAATAATGATGCCTGGGATTCTTTAAAAAGTTAGAGGTATAATGCTATCAAAAATTTCAGAAGTCCAAAAGTCACAAAATAATATAACATAACATCACGCCTTTTATCCCCGAAGGGGTAGGCAGTGGTGCACATTACGACACTTAATGCCACTGTACAATGTAACACCCACTTTTCACTATTTATGTTATGAGTCCCATGTAGGTGAATCTATTGCCATATACCGGGCACAATTCCAGACTCCGTGCTACCACTGAGAATTTTTTTAAAACCCAGTAGTACTTTGCTCGACTCGGGAATCGAACCCGAGACCCTTTACCCGGCAGTTGCACTTGCGACCACTCGGCCAACGAGGCAGTCAAGTCAGTCAACGAGCCAGTCCAAGTTGCTTAAAAAGAAAAAGGAGAAGGAGAACGATTATGCAGTCAAATTCATTTTTTTCTCAACTCGAATAGGTAGGTTCGCCTTAGTCATCCATTTATAAAAGTTCCTTATCAATACTGCTGCACACATACCGTATTAATTTCAATAAAATGTTGAATAATAATTATTCAATGGAATTGATGTGTGATGACATCATCAACAGAAATGTTTCTGTATAAAATATTTCGATAGTCAGTTTTAGCTGTCATTACATTATTTTCTATTATATAACATTCGCAGTTCCTTGTATTTATTGTTATCACAATCAGCAAGTAATAATATTCACTCCTAGAGCTGAACAAGAGATTCCATTAATTATTCAAAATTCAATATAACACTCGATACCACGAGTACATACATAAATATGTGAAAAGAAATATACAAGGCCTAATTAATAGAAAGTGCAATAAAGTGATAAGCTTCAAGCGCCAAGCTTCCTTGTGCTAACCGCTAAGGAATGGAATTATTTGCTGGAACCTGTGTTTCCCGACAAATAACTTGGATTTCTTCAAGTCCCGAATGAACAGATTGCTCATAGGTAAGCGGGCTCCATTGTCGGCCACATCATCGCTTACCACCAGGCAAGAAGGTGGCCAAATATTAACCTATCAAGTATAAAGAGAAGAACAATTTCAAGGTCAAAAACATAAGTAGGTATATTGAAATCTCTTATCCTTGGAGACTAACATTGATATGCCGTTATCAAAACATCATTCTAGTCTCAGATTTACGACTCAAGTCTCATAAACCATATCAAAGCAAAACCAAATAAACAAATAAATATTTCTTACAATTCCTGGAAATATACGAATAATACTTGTATATCGACTGATTATTATGGAACTAAGGTATTCCATTAAGAAGCTAACGTGTACCGAATTCGTATTTTATGCCTTTGAAGTTAAAATTCATAAAATATTACCAATGTATTTTCTCGTGGCGAACGAAGATTTTTGATTTTTTTTTATTAGTATTTTTTTTATTAGTTAAATTGTTGCGTAGATTGCTTTTGTTTTTTATAAATAGTGTGACATTATTTATTTTAAATTTCATTGACTTCTCATTGTTATTTGTTTTCCCGAACTAGTTTGTTTTGTATTATTAATTATTGACTGAATGAATTGCCTTAAGTTTGTATGGTCATATTAGTTTTACTCTGGCTGTATGGACTATGTATAACAATAAATATTAGAATGTAAGATTATGGATACTTATGACAATATAAGAAGCAGTTCCAGGCTAAAAATACGAGACATAATGTACATGTAGTAATTTTAATTGGCTCAAAAGATTAACTAAAAATCGCGGGTTACTCATATGAAAATATTGAGAAAAGCTCTACTACCTCTAGTTTCGAACCAGAGAGGTTCTTCCTCATGAGCAGCGTGCGCGGTCGCGGCGATGTCGCGCAGCCGATTCAAAACATTAAAGGAAATCAAAAGCATTTATTTCAATTAAACCATAATCTGAATACTTTTGAGCCATTCGTATCTTCGATAATCTGTCAGTTTGTAATAAACTTGGATTTTATTTAGTCCAAGAGTGCGTTGACAAACACCGCTTTTTTATGGCATAAGCCGGTAAACGAGCAGACGGATCACCTGATGGTAAGCAATCGGCGTCGCCATGGACATATGGACACACAACACCATAGGGGTTACAAGTGCGTTGCCGGCCTTTTGGGGATTAGGAGTTTGAGAATCGTTGGGGATTCAGGAATTGGGGAGGAGGGGATTTTCGCACACTTATTGGAATAATCAACAATACAAAATAGAGATCAGACAACAGTTTTGTAGACAGTATTGTAAACACAACACGATTAAACCCAGCTGGACCACCACAAAAAGTTTCGAAGACAGGACTCTCAAAGCTAAATGAGTTGTTCACTTACTTGACTACCTCCTCTACCTACTACCCGCTTACTTGAAACTCATTTATTTACTTGAGTTACAGCAAAATAAATTGATGTATCGACTTTTTCCATTAGTGAAACATGTTCGGTTTCCAACACCTGCGTTTAATCACGGGCTGCCTCGGCGCGATTTAATTCAGTTCATGACGTTTTTAAATATATTCCTGCGTTGGGTTTTAAATCGTTTTGTTTTTGGTTTAATGCAATGTTTTTTTTTGTTTTGGTTTTAGGAGGAAGTATTTGAGAAAAATTGTGAGAGGATAAGGATAAGGACTAGTGGGAGTTTTAACTGTGGTTTATCAAAACGGTAATTACTAATTTAAAAGCTTTTATATAACTAAAATTTTCGTAATTTTTATGGGATATAGAGCAGATGGATTACCTGACTAAAAAAAGTTTTATTATGATACATTCATAGGTGATTTTTCTCAATAAATCTAATGATACTGGTACATACTCCGTCGTAGGCTGAGTGGTCGCAAGTGCGACTGCCGGGCTAGGGGTCTCGGGTTTGATTCCCGGTTTGAGAGTAGTGTTACTGGGTTTTAAAAAAAATCTCAGTAGTAGCACGGAATCTGGAATTATGTCCGGTATATGTTCACCTCTCTTCGGGGATAAAAGGCGTGATGTTATGTTATGTTAATACATACAGGCATACTCACTATTGACTATTACTACAGCATAATAAATACGATCCAGTAATAATAATGTAAGCTAAAAACGATACATTAAGCTGAAAAACTGAAAGAAAATCTAAAATCTCCTATAAATGAAGGCTTTACTTCAGACGTCGGCGCGAACATGATCAAGTGCCGATATATCATGCAGCCTCAATTACCTTCCACAGTATCGGTGTTTCGGGTGTTTCGATACGAAAACTTAATGTTTTGTAGCCACGGGTTTATCGTTCGTATTTGATATATTATGTTGTATATTATTGTATGTTTTGTAATAGTGCACGATATCTTACCTGCATTGTTCTGTAAATTAGGCAGTCAATTCAGAGTATGTGTAAATTCCAAGCTGATTTTAGTCTTGTTGTTATTATAGACTAATTTATGATTCGTCATAGAAATATTGATAATGTGATAATATACACATATTATCACATTATCAATAGTCGCGTATAAATATCCACTATTGTGTAATAGTGGATATTTATACGCGACTAGCTCAATCCATTTTCTTAGTTAGAATTGCACCGAATATAATATTATGACATAACTTTTTTTTAAGGGGGTAAAATCATCGAGTCACTGCTCCCGCCTAGGTGAGGCGGGAGGGAGTGTCAGACTCTTACTGACTAAAACCACCCCGTTCCTACTCCAGCACTTCGAGCCGGAGCCCCGGTAAACGGTTAAGTTCTCCGCGGCTCTGTATCGGCATCTATTGGGCCCCATCCGTGGTCGTGTTGGTCTGATGGCTTTTAGAGGGGCGTGCGGAACGCAACGCGCGCTACTTGGGTCTGGTTCTGGTCGGACGACGAGCCACCCATGATCGCCGTCCGCAGACCCGTGATTATGACATTACTAAGGATAGGTTGGCATGCCTTCTTGGGTGCCTGACGCCCGTTAAAAAGTTTAACGAAACAAATAAATTAATAATATGTACTAATAATGTGTGTGTCGTGTGAGTGAGGTTATCAGAGGCTCAATGACGCACTTTCCCCTCCCCAGTCTCCCCAATTCCCAAATCCCCCACAATCCTCAAATTCTCAATTCCTAAAAAGCTGGTAACGCACTTGTAACGCCTCTTGTGTTTCAGTTGTGCATGGGCGGCGCCGAATGCTTACCATCAGATGATACGTACGCTCGTTTACCGGCTTATCCCATAAAAAAAACAATAAAATAACGTACATTACTTACCAAAATTAATTCGGTCGTATCGAAGGTATTGTTAGAACGAATTCAAAGAACGCTGCATATTTCAGTGCCGTCCTATAGAACAAACTAAATCATCAGAATCTAAAGTCGAAGTCGTCAGCATTCTAAATCAATTCTTAATTGGTCGTCCGCTGTTCATCATGGACAGAGTAAAAATATCAGTAGGTCAATAAAATTTTCTTTTTGTTCTGTAATGACCTGGGTTCAGGTAACTGGGTGATGAAAGATTAAACCGCGGCAATAGGTACATAAAATTTATTCAACATTGACAATAATATTAAACTAAACTAAATAACTGTAAATCACTTAAAAAAACATAGAAAAGGCATAAAACCTAAATAAAATAGTAAAATCAGAATACAGGAAAAAATGAATTATAACAAAAGTTTTGTGAGACTTGGGTTCGAACCCGAGTTCAACCGTGTCGACGTATACGATGCTACACCCCGAGACCAACTGGTTACTTGAGAACAATGGTGAAAATCTTAATCTCTACGCGTCAGGATCAACTGGCGTAACGGAGGCTGAGTCACAGTCCTAAAGTTTCTCCCGAATAATTAAGGGCGTATCCCGCAAGCTGAGGCAATGTAAAAAACAATCAGCCTTGCAAAATATTGCCGATGATCCAGTGTACACTTCCGTAAAGTAAACGCAAACACTTACCCCGTTACTGCAACCACATCACTTGTCACTGGCAATAATACTTATTATATTTATTATTCATTACAGATTTCTGATCAATTATGGCTTTGAGTTACAGCAATTATGCAAATTAAATGAGGACCCGTAAGCTGTCTCCTTTCTTTATATAATCGTCATCGTCAGATTTATTTTTTTTTCATTTTCTTTTACTGCCACTCACTTGACCATAAATAAATATATGATTTATATTAATGTGGCTAGCCTAGTAACGCCATCTATTAATGCACTTAAGAACCAAATATCGATCATTACAATATCCCCTCTCCTCTGAGGAATCCAACCGGATTCAAACCAAACGTTTAAGGTCACAAGAATGCCATTTTCCTAAATCTTTTCCCTTGAAACTCTTTAGTCTGTAAACGTCGTCTGATATCTTTTCGGCTACGACTGCTTTTCAAACTTAGGTGCCAATTTGGACATAAAAGACTTGTCAGCATTCGATAGCGGCTTAGTGCGCTTCCAAACCAGATCACCCTCATTATATCTACAAGTACGACGTCTCTTATTGTACTGATCACTGTTGGTCTCATGTGACTGCCGCATTCTTTCAGAAACTTCCTCATAAATTTTATTTCTGAAGGCCATATTTCTTTCAAATCTCTCTTTATTGAAAGTTATCGGTTGACCCGGTTCAAAGTTGTAAGGTTTCATGCCCGGATTATTGTTTCGCGTCCAAAAAACAAATACGCTGGCGTTTTTCCGGTCACTTCATGAACCGATGTCCTGATTGCATGACCTATGTGTGGTATATACTTGTCCCATTCCTTGTGATTATCTTCCACGTAAGAAGCTATAGCCGAGCCAATGACCTTGTTTACTCGTTCAGTGGGATTAGCCTGAGGATGATAATAAGGAGTGTACCATAGTTTTACACCGTACTCTGAAACTAAATCCTTAAACTGGTTGGATACAAATTGCTTCCCATTATCACAAACTATTACGCTGGGGGTTCCATACATTAAAAATATATCTTCCTCCAGTATTCGAGCTATAGTTGATGACTTTCCATTCCGGAGAGGGTACAAAAAACAGAATTTGCTGAACCAGCACGTGATGACTAACAGCATAGTATTACCATGCTTCGATTTTGGAAAGGGTCCCATTAAGTCCATTGATATAATCTGAAAAGGTTCTGATACCTCTCGTTGCTTTCCCATTAAACCTGATGGCTTACTTTGTGAGTACTTATACTTCGCACACACTTCACATTTCCGTACAAAGTCTTTCATGTCCTTTATTAATGTCGGCCAGAAATATCGCTGTCTTGCTCGGTTGACTGACTTTTTAACACCAAAGTGGCCAGCTGTGGGGTCATCATGGCATTCCTTCAGGATGCCTTGGCGAAGCGTTTCGGGAATCACAAGTTTCCAACTGTCATTTTCATCTGGAAATTGCTTTAATTGCAAATGTTTCCACAGTTGTCCTTGGCTAACCTCCCAATCCGGTTCATTCTTCCCAGACAGCACCAAGTCTTCTTTTGATTTATACCAGTCATCTTTATCTTCTGGTTTTATTTCTAAAATGTTAATTTCTTCCTCAATCGCTCTTGATAAAGCATCCGGCACAGTGTTGTATTTACCTTTACGGTGGACTATTTCATAATCAAATTGCTGTAAGCGCATTGCCCACCTCGCCAAACGTCCGTGAGGATCCTTGTTACGGTGTAGCCACTGAAGGGCGCTATGGTCCGTGATGACTTTAAAGTGATTCCCTTCTACATATGGACGAAATTGTTCTACAGCATGTAGAACACTCAATAGTTCTCGCTCAGATGCTGAGTACTTGCATTCCCTTTCCGATAATTTTCTGCTCGTGTAAGCGATTGGAGCCTCGAGTCCGTCGACTATTTGAATTAAAACTGCACCAGTTCCCCTGTTAGAGGCGTCACATTGAATAGAAAAGGGTTTGGTGAAATCTGGCACTCTTAACACTGGTGTCGAGGTCAAGGCAGTCTTCAGGTTTAAGAAAGAATCTTCTGCCTCTTTATTCCATTCTGTACATTTAGTCCTCTTGCCTCCTTTAGTTAATTCATGAAGCGGAGCTGCGACAATGGCAAAATTTTCCACAAATCGCCTGTACCAACTAGCTAGACCAATGAATCGCTTTAGTTCCGTGTAAGTAGTAGGCCTGGGATAGTCGAGAATCGCCTTCACTTTATCTGGGTCGGTACGTAATCCTTCCTTGTCTACGATGTAGCCCAAGTATTTTAATGATGATCTCGCAAATACACATTTCTCCAGATTTATCGTTAATCCTGCCTCTTTAAGCTGATTTTTGACATGTGACAATGACGATAAATGGTTTTCAAAACTGCTGTCACAAATGACGATGTCATCCAAATATGTAAACACTCGAGTCTCAAATGCCGGCGTAAACAACCGATCCATCAATCGTTGTTGTGTTTGGGAAGCGTTGACTAGTCCAAACGGCATGACTTTAAACTGATAAAGTCCTTTTCCCGCGAGTCCAAAAGCTGTCTTTTCCTTGCTGGTTTCTTCAAGCGGTATTTGCCAGAAAGCTGATCGTAAATCAATAGTAGACAGAAACTGAGCATTTTTTAGACTGTCTAAGATGGTTGTAACCCTAGGCAAGGGATAAGAATCTTTTATTGTAATCTTATTTAACTGGCGACTGTCGAGGCACAATCGATTCTTACCCGAAGTCTTTTTCACTAGTAATACTGGAGAACGCCATGAACTAAAGGAGGGCTCTATTACGTCATTGTCCAGCATATCCTGAATTTCCTTCTCAAGCTCTGCCATAATTGGGGGAGCAAAGGGGTACTGCCTATGTTTGACGGGCAAGCTGTCCCCGGTATCGATTCTGTGCTTGATCAACGATGTTCTTCCCAAACCTTTACC